AAGGCGTGTCAGTCCAAGTGTAGGATCACCTTTTTGTGAGCTCTGTTTCTCTTTTAGACAGATTCAATCTCTTGTAGACCAGGTGGCCTTGAACTCACAGAGATCCGTCTGCCTCTGTATCCCACGTGCTGGGATTAAAGGTGTACACCACCATTCCCTGGCCTCTATGGCTAACTTTGCACTCTGATCTTCAGAAATGCTTTATTTGTTAGATCATAAACAAAATATCGCCACAACCCAATGGTACAGTGCTTGCCTGGCATTCACAAAGCTCTGGGCTTTACTCCAGGAGAGAGTAAAAAGTAAAAAAGAAAGGAACAATAAAAATAAGGACTGATTATCAGAATATGCCACAGTTAGTCCAGATAAGCCAGAGTTGAAGATGTTTACATCATGTTATAGGTAATATCAAGGCTATTAATATCAAGTGGGGTGCTGAATGTGGGTGTCAGTGAGGAGGCCTAGGTAATCTATTGAGCCTTGGGTAGTAGATCAGTATTTATTCCGGGTATACAAATGAACTTTGGGCACCCATCCAACAATGAGATGCACTCTCACCCTGGATTCTTGGGGAAGGGTCTAGGCCCTGCCTTGGATGAAATGACAGGCTATGGACATGCCCATGGTGGGCCTCACCCTCCCTGGACAAATGAAGGGATATTGGAGGGGTTGGTGGGAGGGCATGGACAGAGGGGAGAGAAAGGGAGAGGGACCTGGAATTGACACGTAAAGCAACCTTGTTTCTAATTTAAATTTAAATAAAAAAAATATCAAGTGGGGTGTAGTGGTGCCTATCTTTAATTCTAGCACTTGAGAGAAAGAAGTGGGTAGATCCAAGACTTGATAAAGTGAGACCTTGTCTCACAAACAGTGGAGAGGAGGGGGTTGGAGAGGTGGCTCAGTTGTTAAGTACACCAGTTAGTTGCTCTTGCTGAGGACCTGGTTCAGTACCCAGCTTACAGCTATCCGTACTTCCAGTTCCAGGGGATCCAGTGACCTCTTCTGACCTCTGCAGGCACACACGTGGTGCACATACACTCTCACAAAACACTTAAACACACTGCACAACGGTGGCACACGCCTTTAGTTCCAGCACTTGTGGAGGCAGAGGCAGGTGGATCTCAGTGAGTTCGAGGCCAGCCTGGTCTACAAATTGAGTTCCAGAACAACTAGGAGTGTTACACAGAGAAACCCTGTCTCTAAAAACAAAAACAAAACAAAACGTCTTTTTAGAAAGTCTATTGATGCCGTTAATACCAGCACTTGGGAGGCAGAGGCAGGCAGATCTATGTGAGTTCGAGACCAGCCTGGTCTACCGAGCAAGTTCCAGGACAGGCTCCAAAACAATACAGAGAAAACAAAACAAAAAACCTATTGATTAATAAGGAAAAGATGAACAGCCTGTAAACAAAGGGCAAGATTTGTGTAGGCATTTCACAGAAGTCAAGATTAGCGTAGCCGGGCTAGAGAGATGGCTCAGTGGTTGAGAGCTCTTCCAGAAGACTCAGGTTCAATTCCCAGCACTCACATGACTGTAAATGTAGTTTCAGAGGATCTGACACTCTCACAACAGAGATACATGCAGGCAAAACACCAGCACACATAAAACAAAAAAATAATTTTTAAAAAGATTAGCATGGTTAGTAAGCATATGAACTCGTTGTCAACCTTATTACTAAATAACTAAATGTAAAATAAAATAGTTTTATACCTCCAGACTGGCAAAAAGAAAAGCTGGGACAGCCCCAAGCCCTGGCAAGGGTACAGAGCCAAGGGCCTCTCTCAGCCGCATTCTTGGGAAGCTGTGAAAGACCCTCGAACAATAGAGAAATTGTGCTTGTGTGTATCATGGGTAAGATGGCTGCTAGCAGCACTATCTGTAATTGTCCCAAACTGGAAACTCACAGCTTCATCTCCAGAGAGATGGCTCTGTGAGCAGTGATACAGTCATACAATGGAACTGTTTCAACAATGATCTTGAACGACGTTAGCTATGTGTGTCATCATGAACAAATCTGATGATGAGCCAAAGGAATTGGATGCCAAAGATTGCATCTGTATGATTCTGTTGCTACAAAACACAAAAACAGGAAAATGCTGGGATGAGTGAATAACTGGGTGGTGAAGATTTTTCAGAAAAACAAGAACACGAGATTCACCGAAGCCAGGGCTGAGGAGGGGAGGGCTGTGACAAGGAAGGCCGTGGGTCTTTCTTAGATACTGCTCCTTGGAGAGGATACAGACACCCTTCACAATTTGCCACACTGCACATTTATGCTTTACATTTCTGTGTGTTTTATTTCACAGGAAGTGAAGAAGGAAAGGAGCTGCCTCAGCTCAGAGCATGTAAGGGATATAGCTCTCAGGCAGTGTGGGGTGGGGGTGGGCAGCTGTCAGGAAGCCTGTGAAGGTTCCTTTGGCACTCACAAAGGATGTGTCGAAGGATAGATGAGTCAGAGGTCTGCTCTCCCTCTCCAGTCTTCCTCCAGGGAGAAACAGGAAAATACCTTGAGGGGAACCACCACCCGCATATACTTTCATAGTAGGGTGTCGTGGCACTTCCAGGGGCCACTGCCCCTTCTCCAAGTAAAGAAGGTTTCTCAAGGACTCCATAGTCACGCAGTCTTATCCAGTGGAGGGAACAGAAGATGCTTGCAGGATGTTTGCAAGGGTCCAGTGAGGATCAGATCTGTGATTTTCCTCTTTCCCCATCCCCAGACATATGGATTTGGTTCAAGTCCTAGATCTACTCTATAGGCCCTGGCATTGTCTAGATCATTCCCCTACAAGGCTTACATCACTGTCAAAAGCCCCTTCCCTATTAGGTTGACCTGACCATCTGTATTGGGGATGAAGCTGCATCTTGGTGTCCATCAATAGGGGACACTCAGGACCATGACCCGGAGTCAGAGCAACTGGTATTTGTATAGGTTTCTAGCTATTGGGTTGGGGCTATAGATCAGTGACAGAACATTTGCCTAACATAAGCAAGACCTCAGATTCCATTAGTGTAAATGATAAATAAATGAAAATCTAATAATAAAAATCTAAAAAACAAAACAGAGTAACAAACCCAGAGGACAAAATGGCTCTCCACACTTTTGGATCAAACACAGGAAACATACAACTGTGTTCCTCCCCAGGCCTTGGCTCACATTGCTTCCCATGCTGTCTTCTTTCCTCAGGCCCAAACAGTAGCCATCTATGAATACATCCTGATGGCAGGCAAGTCAGGGAACCCACTCTGGGTTTCAGTTTCTCTCTCAGTAGAGAGAAGAGTGTAAAGCCTATTAGTGGTGGTGCATGTACTCAGGAGACAAAGGCAGGCTGATCTCTGTGAGTTCAAGGTCAGCCTGGTCTACATTTTGAGTCCCAGGACAGCTGAGGCTATACAAAGAAACCCTGTCTCCAAAAACAAAACAAGAAGAAAAGAAAAGAGAAAGAAAAAAAAGAAAAAGGAGGAAAGGGAATAAATTTGTCCGTAGGGTAGGACCTGTTGCCCGCCCCCAAACCCAGCCTCACACAATGGGATCCAGAAGGCAAAGCAATTTGCTCCCCCAGTGCTATGGCTCCTGGAGAGGGTGAGAACACCTTCAGAGCTCTGGGATGCTGGGGGTAGGCAGAGCTGACCAGACTCCCATGATTAGTGGTGGCTAAGAGGAGTATCAGGGAGCCAGGCAGGAGTCATGGCTTTGACTCAGAGCACTGGAGCAGTGATGAATTCACACGACAGTGGGACTTGAACTCGGGTTTCTCTGAGCCTCAGTTCTCTCACTTAAAAATGGGTCTACTTTTCCAGCTCAGCACCACAAATGCTGCAAGTGTTCAGTACATGGTAACTACCACATTATGAATTCTTCGTTCACTCTCATATCAGCCCTTGCACACAACCTTGCAAATGAAGTCCTGGTCTTGGGGTAGTTCAAAGAGGTGGTCAGCTATTCCAGCTGGTCCAAAGTCCCAAGAGATAAGACAAGGCTGTACAAAATGCCTTGGTGTGCCTTGGATGCCCACAGACCCCAGGTGTTTAGTCAGCCTAAAGGATCCATCACCGAGCCAGGCGGTGGTGACACACACTTTAATCCCAGCACTTGGGAGACAGAGGCAGGTTGATCTCAGTGAGTTCGAGGCCAGCCTGACCTACAAATCGAGTTCCAGGACAGCCTGGACTGTTACACAGAGAAACCCTGTCTTGAAAAACCAAAAAGGACTCATCACCTGACTGTGGGCCAAAGAACTCCCAGATCCTCTAGCGCAGGGCTTGAAAAGCATGTTAGTCACTGAGCGGTCCCCAAAGCAGGTACACTGCAGCACAGGATACAATCAGCAGACTCCTAGCCACAGGATCAAAACCTATTCTCATCTAGTCCTGTTTCCTATTTTACAGAAATGGGCACTGTAGTCATAATGGGCATGGCCCCAGTTCCTCATTGAGTTTAGGACAGAAAGGGAGGAGAAAATGGCTGGTCCTCTAGGGATTGTTCCATGTGCCCTAATCCTGACCATGGCACCCTGGTTCTTCTCGCCTGGCAGATGGAGGCAGACTCTGGTTCCTGGAAGCAGATGGTCATTGGAATCCAGCACCTGTCATTCACTGCAACCCATGATGCCCTGGGGCCACAGCCTCCTACTTCAAGGAATTTGACTCACCTAGTCAATCACACACCTCCAGACTAACAGCAGGAATTTGGGGTTCCAAACAAAAGCCCTTCAAACTACACAGCAGTCGCTGGTTACTGGGCACAAGTACAGTCCTTGATCTGGTTCTATGTAAAAACCTTCTCCAGTAGGGCTGGGGATGGCTCAGTAGTAGACAGCTCTGGCTGCTCTTCCAGAGGCCCCTGCTTCAATTCCCAGCACCCATGCGGCAGCTCCCAACCATTTGTAGCTCCAGTTCCAGAACTGACACCCTCTTCTGGCCCCTGGGGCACCAGGCATACACACAATACACACATACATGCAGGCAAAACACTGATACACATAGAATAATGAAATAAAGATTAAAAAAAGAAAAAACCTTTCTTCTCCAACATAAAGTACAGTGAAGGCCAGATAATGCCAAGGTCTCTGCCAGCCCTGACCTCCAGACACATTTATTGTCACACACAAAAAAATTCCAGTCTAAATGGCTGTATCTGGCAGAAAGAATTTCGTGGGAAAAACCGAGGGGACCAATTGGGACCACCCAAACTATTTGGACACCTGGATGCCATTATCCCCACCCATCCTTGGCCTATCAAAGCCCCACTTACCCGCCTCATTCTAGTCAGCACTTCCTGTGAAATCTTCCTAGACCCTCCCACTGGGTTCCAACCTCCGGGCTCCCTCATGCACAGCTTCCCAGAACACCGCACCAGCACCAGCACCTCATACTCACTGGCCTGCTCCAGACTAGGCACAGCCACACCCAGCTAGAGGCTGCTCACAGGCAACAACCAGCTGCATACCACGCCAGTCACACAGCAGGAACTCAGTAACTGTTAACTGTGGCTTTGGAGTTTGGGCTCCAGCCAAGACTGACGGATCCAGATGGATCCTGATCTATTATTTAGCTATGGCCCCAGTCAGTTCACTTAGCAGCCTGGGACCTAGAAGACTAAAGACCACCCACCCATTAGGGCTGCTGCCAGTAGCTCTCTACCTGGACACTGGTGATGCTCAGTAGAGCCTGCTGTCCCCTCAGTGCCAATCAAACCCTGGCCATTGAGACAAGGGTCATCTCTGATTTCTTAAGAGGGTGGTCCCTCCTTGAGTCTTATCATTGCTAAGCCTTAGACCCCATCTAACTGCCCCAGCCTTGTTTGGTCCCAGCCCACTACAGGGTGGGTATGCTATGGGGACCAGATTTTGTGTCCTCAAGGCTCAGGAAGCACTTCGTCATCAGCCCTGGATTCTTGAGAGGTGGGACATGGAGGGGCTGGATGGGCCAAGTCAACCAGCCAGTCTTCTGGTAGTTGTGGCCTGCTCCAGCCTGGGACCCGGTCTGTTCACTGAGTCTGGGACACTTGTTGATGAGGTCTGGTGTCAAGCCCACTTCTGCTCATCTTCCCATGCAAGCCGGTCTCCTTCTACGTGGCAGGGCTGTGGCCCCATCGCTGCTTCCACCAACAGCTGTGTGGAATGGATGTCACCTGGGTCCAGTGTAACCATACGGGTGCCGCAGCAACAGGCTTTGATGGCTGGGCAGCACGTGAGTGTGGTAGTGCTCCACCATGCTGCCCACACTTGCAAACAGAACCTCACCTTCCAGGTAGAACTTGGAATCCTGCAGGGCAGAAGGGATCAGGTTCAGCAGGGTCCGACGAGCCCATTGCCTCAAGCTATACCCTCCTCTCCCACCCCCTACTCCATTTTCTCAGAAGGAAAGGTAGCAAGTAACAATGGCACCGATCGGCAGGCTTGCTCCCAGCCGTCCATGTGCCCTCCCTGTCTGCCCACACAACAGGCCTTGTATTCCAGAACTCTCCTGTCAGTACCCTGGCATTGGCCCCAAGGGTCCAATGTGAAACCTGCTCTCAGGGCAAGGTCTGTGAATAAAAGCAAGGGCTGAGGAGAGCTACCCAACACTTCTGGAGTAAGCTAAGGACAAAGCAAGGTTAGGAGATGAGGGAGGCTGACGCCATGGGGAAGAGACAGAGGGCAAAGGACAGGGCAGGGCTGATGTTACTGAGGTACCAGCCCAGTTCCCCACTGCCACATCACATAAGGGGACTCACTCGGCTCTTGCTAAGCCTGGAGGCCAATGTCCCCACCCCACCCTCAGAGCAGGGCCCACCCAGTGTCTCACCTTCTCAAAGATGCGGTAATTCCTCACTTTGTTGGAGGATTCATCCCATACAACCAAGACCTACAGGGAGAGAATATGGAGCAGAAGGCTTAGAGGTGGCTGCAGGACTGGCCACCAAAGCCGAAGAGAGTAGCGGCAACTATGAGGCCAGATGTTGTGGCCCTTGGGGGCTAATATGAGTCAGAGACCAGCTACAGTCCTCTGTACAGAGACAGTGTCTCACCCTGGTGAGACATAAGTAGCTACCATCTCTCACACCTCTCACACGAGTGAGGTAGGCGAGGTGTCATGTTAACACTTGTACACTCAACCTCTTGCTATTTCCACTGCCCCACGCAGCCTCCCTTTCCTCTGTACAAACCCCATCCTAATCCAAGCTCTCTGGCTCCAGTGGAAGGCAGCCGCAATCACCCCCCAATTTGTAGAAATCATTTAGTTTTGAAACAGAGAGAGGGTGCCGCTGAGCAAGGACCCTAAAGAAAGAATTCAGCTGAGGTGCCAACTAAGAGGACAGAAGGTTCTGGTGGCACAGCTGTCCTGCAACAGCAGCCTACCTTCCCTGACTTGGTGGAGGAGTTCCGAATGCAATACAGTCCATCCTGAGGCTCCCCACGGGGATTTGTAGCTTTGAACAACCTAAAAAGAAACAGCCATGTTGGTGGTGAACCTCCCTAGACAGCTTTCATAGGTCCCTTCTAGCCCCACTAACCACGTGGCTTTCTGTCCACTCTTGGTTTCCGGTTGTAATCGAGGATGTGAAGCAGAGGGACTTACGAAAACAACAACAAAACCCCATTCCGAACCATTGCCATCACATTTCCTTGCTCAGGCCACAAGCTTGAGCCTCACAGCAAGGACAAAAAGCACTGCGCACTGACCTTTCTACCTCACAGGATTCTGTGGTGTTGACAAACACTGAGTTAGGCAGCGGTACCTGAAAGAGGCCAACAGTTGTCACTATCAAAGCGTCACCCTCCACACATCACTGCTACCCCAGGACTTTGCACGGTGCCATCTCCCTCAAACCCAGAGTCGTGGAGCCCTTGTTCAGGGTAGCCAGTGGGAGCCCCTAGCCTACTGCTCCCCCCTGTCTGTCCACCTGCCACGGGGTGGGGCCTGGGCCCTCCACTCCGGCTTGCCTTCTCATAGTCCTCATCTGAGTCCTCCTCGCCAGTGCCAGCCTGTGAGGGCTGTCGGGCCTTTTCAAAGGAGAAGCTCCTGAAACTCTGTCCATCGGGGGGTGATCGCCTGGAGCAATATGGAGGAAGATAAGAATATTATCACCCTCAGACACAGATAGGTCACCCTTCCTCCCCTCCACACATGACCCGACTTAGCATCAGAATCCTGGTGCCAGGCTTCTCTGGCCCTGTGGCTGTAACTGCTTGGGACAGCAGAGCTCTGAGACCCGTGCTCACTGCCCAGAGGAGGCAGGAGTTATCACAGATCTGAAAGTCCAACTAGGCAATCAGGATTGCCATTACTACATCGAGCACCTGAGCTCAGGTGTTATCATATAGTGGACAAGTGTATTGGGAGCTGCCAGGGTCCAAGATCTACTATTGATTGTTTTGGGATTCTGGCAAAGTCACAGTTCTCTTGAAGCTATGAGGGGGTGGACAGATAGGACCAGACTGAACAGTACAATCTGACCCCAAGGGATACCCATGGTAAGAGCCCAGCCCACTGCATAGGCAGCAGGTGGTCCTCTTGAGCCTAATCTCCAGGCCTTTGGGGAGACTTGAAGGAAGCACACATGGCCTGAAACATAAGCCCACATCAGATGCACAAAGCTGGACATCACCTGTACCCCTAGATCAGCCAGGCATAGGGGAGGCTGGGACAGTGAGGAAACCCTTCCCACCCTGTTCCTAATGCTTCCCCTTAGAATGTAAGTGGTTCAGGGTGGAGAACAAACTGGGTTGAGGGAAACTACTGGCTGGCAGGCGGAGGTACTACCCCACCCAGACTCACTGGAGGTGGGGAAGAGGTGTCTTTTCTGGTCTAGGTAGCACTGCAGGCCGAACTGAAGCCTCAGGGATAGGCATCTTCTGCACAGGAGGCCTAGGAGCCACAGGGGGTACAAAGAGTCCAGGCTTGGCTGCCTCCCTCGAGGAAGCTTCTTCAGGTATCTTCAGGAACTTGGGCTTATTAGCAGGCACGGGTGGGGGCTCAGATGTGGGTGGCCCCCGGGAAGACAGGTGAAAGGACTTGAGTTTGTCGCAGTTCCTAGAGGTGGCAATGGCCATATTGGTAGAGCCGGAGGCACAGCTAGTCCCATGTCCAGGGGTCCAGGGTTCTGGGTTGGGGTTCACACTGTCTCGGAAGCAAGGTTTCCGGAGGCTGGGCATGGTGGGTACATTGCCCAGTGGAGGGTCACTCATCCTCCGAGGGGTAGCAGGCACTCTGAGGGCAGGCTCTACTCGCCTCGGGCCCAATGGGTCTTTCTTAGCATCCTCAGGGGCAAGGCTAGCATCTGGAAGGCTTCGCTTAGGAGGTGGGGGTGGAAGTAAGGGGCTTGGGCTTTTGGAGGTGAAGGAATGGGCACGGGGCAAATCAGAGAAGGTTGGCTTCCGAGGTACAGGCACAGGGGGTGGTGGGTAGGCTGGTGGATGTGTCAGGGCATCTGCAGAACAACAAAAAAGCAAATTGGCATCATATAGAGGCTGGACCACCACAATCCTCTACTAGCAACAGACAGCAGGAGCCAACCAGGTGTGTACCCCTCGTGGCCCCAACTTCAGCCAGCCAGCAGCAGCTGACTCAGTATGCATCCTTCACGGTCCCACCCTTGACCTACCTAACAGCTAATACCTAGCCCACCACCCAGCTTTCCCTGGACCCAGGCCACCACTGATACATGCTCTTTCCCATTCATCCCCCTGAAGGCAATCCAGACAAAGTTCCTATAGCCTAGATGTCACATGAAGATCTATCAAGGCTCCTACAGACAGAAGTAAGCAGAGTGAGGATCCCCAGGCCTTCACCTGAGCAAGGGAAGGGTGATTTCTGAACGAGAGAGATGAGCAGGAAGGGCCAGAACCAGTGGGGTGGAGTTGAAAGCCTGTGCTTACAACAAGCTAAAGGCACTGTGTGTGTCATCTAGCTCAGATGTCTTATGGGCCATCAGGAGAGCAGGCCCAGGAACAGTGGGGATGATACCAGAGAGGCCTGAGGTCCACTCAGCCACAGGGAGGGGTGGGGATGTCCCTCAAGAGGTAAACACGGGAGACAGAAGAGCAAGGGCCAGAGTGCTAGGCACAGGGAGGCCAGTGACGAGGAGGGCGGGTCTCAAGAGGAGGAGGGATAATGACAGAGAGTGTTCAGTGCAGTCGCTCTCCAGGTGTCTACCTACAGGTCAAGGCGAGCCTCTTTACTTTCCCACTCCTTGGAGCTGGGCGGTCAAGTTGAGGCCTGAGGCAAGAAGGTATGAGAGGACAGGAGATACAAGGAACAGGGTAGTCAAAGGAGTGTTGCTAGAGCTGATCCCAAGGGAGGAGTAAGGACCCAGTGCCTGCAACTAGTGGAAAGAAGGTGGAAAGGGGGCGTGAGGGGGCAAAGGTCAAGGCACTGGAGAATGGGAAACAGAAGATGGACGGTCACTCCCAAGACTTAATGACAGACAAGACAAAGCTGGGGTGTTCTGAGGAGGGAGCAGGGAAAGCACAAGGTATAAGAGGTAAAGGTTAGAGGGCAGGACAGGGGCATGCCCTTCCTGCCCAACCCAAGTCCCTGTCGCTCACACATGTGACTGTCCATACACTCATCTGCCCCAGAGACTGCTTCAGGTGGTGTCAGCCCGGCCTACAGCTTTGGTCCATGGAGAACTTGTTGCCACGGGCAACCCCTTTCTCACCATCCCTTCATTTTCAGTCTCAGCCTCCAGGACCACCATGGCTTCACTTGACCTTCCATCCACACAAAGTTAACCTGGGAGGTGGCAAGAGCAGACGAGCAAAGCCAACCCCAGAAAGGAGACTGAGACCACTCAGAGCAAGACCCACAGCCTTCTAAGCATGGTGGTTCTTGTTTTTAATTCTGTTCTCAGGAGGCAGAGGCGGGCAGATCTCTGAGTCTGAAGTCAGCCAAGTCAGGAGAGAGTCAAGACAGCCAGGGCTACAGAGAGACCCTGTCTCAAAAACCAACCAAACAAAAAGGAACCATCAGCAGAGAAGAAGTTCTGTTCTTGGTCCTAGTCCCCAGTCCATACCCACCAAGAAACCCCCAAACCCAGCTACCCTACCTACCCTCAAGCTTCATGGGTCCCGGGGAGTCAGGCTCCAAGTACGAGTCATCGTCATCTTCATGTTCATAGTCTACATGTAGTAAATGGAAGATGAGTCACAACATAGTCCAGATCTGCTACATGCAGAACAGGATGGCATGGCCCACTGTGCTTTGGCACAGTGCTCGACTCATGGGAATAGGGCACTCAGGAGACATGGGGTTGGAGACAAGGAGGAAGGATTCGAAACCTGAACTCACTGCTGGAGGTCAGAGGCAGAGAAACCATATCACTCTGCCAGACGACAGGGCAGGGAGCAAAGCTAGACATGCATTTCTCTCCTAGGCAACCCAAGTGGGTTCACTGTCAGCAGTCAAGTGGATATATGGCAGGTGCAGAGATGGTCTTACCTTCATTATCGGTGGGGTATGGAGAGAGGCTGATATCTACAGGTCGCTCAACTGCACCGTAGAAGCTGTCCGTGTCTGAGCTGGAGTCGCTGAAACCCAGAGCAGGGAACAGGCAATGAGCACTAGACCAGTGGTGCCCTTGCACTCACGTGTAGTAAGTGGCCTGTGCACACACACTCCCAACACCACAGATGTCAACATCCATTTGGGGACCCATGGGCACACAGAGATATGAACACATAGAGATACAAGGACAACACCTCACACATGTATACAGACAAAAGAACACAAGTGTCATAAAGAAAGACATTTGGACATATGTGTACATGTGGTTCAAGGACAGACATAGGGACTGCAGGCTTGGGGCCACCTATGGGTACCACCTCCCTGCCTCACTGTGGTTTCTGCAGCCTTGACTGTCTAGATGCCTCAGAGCTGGGTCTCCATGTCTACCTCCTGTCCAGTGAGTCTCAGTCAAGCCTGGACTGAGATATTGCAAGATGCTAGGCCAGACTAATGGCCAGGTGCTCTCAAATTCAGTCCAGAACCTCAGGGCAGCCTTGGGGGTTCCCAGTCCTCTCTAGATCAAGTTTCACTATGATTGGATCAGTGTATGTCCCCTAGAGAGCCCCTGCAGTTTGCTGGATCACCTCACAGGTGAGGATGCAGAGACCAGGACTGACTGAGCTCCCAAGGGACAGAGTAGACACAGGGAGTTGGGAATCCAAAGCCCTGAGCTGTAAGTGCTGGGCCTCCATAGTAGGGGAGGGGAAAAGCACATGGCCCCCAAATAAGTACAACAGAGTGACACAGAGGCAGAGCTGCAAGACCGACAAGAGTAAAGATGGTGCACGCACGCCACACACACGGTTATGTAAGCAGTATATGTTTCCACATACATGAAGCTTACCTAGCACCTCCACAAAAGCCTTTATGGAAGTCATTATAGCCAAGCCCCTTCATGGATTAGGAGGGAACCGTAGGAGCCAAGAAGCCCTAGGGACTTCCACCCACCCATCACATCCCTTGGTGTACCTGGTATCTAGAGGTAGCTCCTTTTTCTCATGGAAGTGGCCAATTTCCTTGCGTAGCAAGGCCATCCAGCTCTGTGGGTCAGGAACAGCCATAGTAAGTATGATGCTGCCCAGAATAGGGGTCCCACTTTGCCCTCCTCCGACCACTGTCTCCCTGCTATGCAGTAACCACCACGTACAGGGAGAGGAACCTAGTTAGGTCCAACCTAGACTGTGTGGCTCAGAGTTGAGATCATTCTCCTCAGACTGCACACTGCCCCTCAACCCTTTCTGGGCTATACCCCGCTGGCACAGTCTCATGGTGTGTACAGGCACCCAGCCGCCCATACACCGACCAAGTCTTTCTCCTCCAGGTCCTAGCCTCCTGCCTGGAGGTGATGGGAGGCCAGCTCCTGGGGATCAATGTGTCCCTTCAGGCGGGTTCTGCCAGGCTCCCGAGGCCCTGCTGCCTGCTGATCACCTTGCGCTCATCCTCAGAGGAGGCTGAGAAGAACCACGTGCGGTGCTTCTTGCTGATGTGAATGATCTTGAATGGGAAGACATTGTTGGATGTCGTCTCCTCGGCTGCCCGCATCACTCTGAAGGTACAGTGCCAAAAGTCACCAGCTTGTCCACTCTCAAGAAATGGGATCATCAACCCCACCCATGAATTGATTTCAGCACTGGGCACCATGCCCTGGGGAATATGGGCAAACCTGGATAGCCTCTGCCTGCTCATGCTCTCAGTAGAACATCTAGATGCTTCAGGGGAACAGCAGAGTATGATTACAGGATGGTGCTGGGTCTGTGCGGACTTCCCAGGGCAGCAGTTGCAGAGCTCAGAGACATGGCCCCATTACTCTCGTTGCTCTGTCCCATGGACTGTCTCTTTGCTCTGTGGCCTGATCCCTCATACAAGGCTTTCTCAGACATCAGTCTACCTAGGGGAGTCCTGCTGGCTGGGCACTTGGTCAGGGTACCTATCACAGGTCCTGGCTAGGGCCTCTTAGGCCCAGCCCATCAAATGGGTTGGACAATCCTTGGGGCCCAGTCATATCTGTCAATGGGCTGAGTTCATGGCTTGGCTGGTACACCAGTCTGGGAAAAGTGACTAGGGAGAGAGCTTTGATTAGCTAGTGCCTAGGATTGAACTAGGAACCTGGCTTGGGTACTTTGGCAAGGCTGGCTCATCAAGGCTATAGTCAGGGTGAAGAAGGGGCCCAGAGCAACTTTAGAATAAATAGAAGGGGCTGGGCCCTTTATGGGGGTGGTGAAAGGCCCAGACTAATGCTACAGGGCACAGAGCCTGGGTCCCTACAGCCCCCAAGGCCACAGGATAAACTCAGGATGACCAATAGTCCAACATGTAGGCATTAGCTCAGGTTATACCTGCCCACTAGTCTAGAAGCCCTAATAAAGGCTTCACCCTACACATATTATCCTACACATATTATCCCACCCCCTGCTCTCAGAATATGAGGTGACAATCACCACGCAGATGAAAACCATCTCAGGAAAGCCAGGGAAAAGCAATTGGCACGGGGTTGGTCGGCAGACAGGATGGACACTCACCGGTTGTAGCCACTCAGGGAGAAGGCACCCTGAGGAGAGGCAGAGGTGCTGGTCTTGAAGTAGTAGATGCAGCGCTTGTGGATGATCACGAAGCGTAGGGGCCCTGGGGACAAATCGGCATCTGGGTGAGCCACAAAGCCACCAGTCAGCTCCACTCTGGGCCTCCTCAGAGGCCCTGTACAGCTTGGGGTCAGACCTCTGAGACTGCAGGGCATAGAACAGGAAGCGGGGGCAGGTATGCTGCCCCTCCCTAGGGCTTTCTGTGGGGTCAATACAGACATGTTCACTGGCACACTGGCCAATCTTGGGGCATCACTCCAGGGAGCACCTGGCCACACAAAGAAAGGGGGTAGCCTGAGGTTTCAAAGGACAGTAGGAAAGGGTGGAGCCTGGACCAGAGGCATAAGGAGGCCATAGCAGCATTGCTTAGAGCAATTGGGCTGCTGGGGGAGGCAAGGAGGGCGGGGCTAAGGCACTCAGAGCTGGCCGGTGAGAGCCAGGGATGGGGCTGTGCGCTAGCTCTGCTGTTCCTGCCCAGAACAGCACCCACTTAGGCCTGGGGGAATGCTAGTTGTGGCTCTTCCTTGGAGGCTGTCTGTACATAGTATAATTGACCTGCACAGAGTCCAACGGTCCAGCTGGGCAACACAGGGGCAGGGAGTCCCCGGCTCTGCAGGGGCAAAAGCATGGCGTGTCCATGCGGATCAGAGAGTTGGGCAAGGCTCCAGTGCTCCTTACTTTCAGCACCCTGACACTCGCTCAGCTGGCTCCTGACCTGGCACATGGGTCCATTCTGTGCTACATGACCAATCAACTCACCCACAACCAACACACAAGGCAAGAACAGCGTTGAGGGACCAGATCTCCCAGGCCACCCTGGGGTCCCCCACCCTTGACTGTAGACTGAAGCTCTCATGATCAGAACCATATACCAAGTGTTCATCTTCTATCTCTTTGCCTAGCTATACTATGCTGGATCTTGTGACAAGGTCCAGGCTAAGGAAATTGACCACCAGGTGTGCCAGCTGCCAGAAAAGGAAAGGAAATCCCAGAAGACCCATTAGAGCTGTAGAGAAGCAGGGCTATGTCCTCCCTCTGAGGCTCCCGCGATTCAGGGACTCACATTTGAGCAGTTGCAGCTGGGTTCCGCCCTTCTTGTGCAGGTAGCCAGCCTTAGCCACACCACCAGGCATAGTCAGCAGATTCTGGGCACCGATGGCCTTCATGGGGGCAGGCCAATGCATTTCCTCAGCCGCCATGAAGCTGCAATTGAAACAAAAGAGACAGGACTCAGCTGGGGTAGGCAGCAGGGAACAGCTTGGCAGGGGATCCTGGGAGGACATTCTGGAGATCTAGAAGGCAGTGTGGAGGGTCAGGTCAGTGGAGGAGGAAACTCTTCTTAAGTCCCCAGCTTCTGAGTGAGACTCTGGGGGTGGCAGTGCTACACAGTCAGTCCCCAGTCCTCATGGCCACAGGATGCTGAGCACTGTCCTTTTAGCATCATGAGATCACCGAACTCGTGGCCCCATGAATGACTGAACTAAGGAAACCCTAACTCGGGCACATCAGGCCTTATGCCATAGCTATGCAAGGTTCCTAGTTTGACTTTCCGGAGGACCTCCAGTCTCAGATGTTAGAGCTGTAAAATGGGATCCCAGAGTGGACTCAGCACACCCTTGTCAGTGCCATGAGGACCATTTGGCGGGCTTGTAGACTCCACTTCATCGGTCCAGGACATCAGGACCCAGAGGCTCCTTTCTGTGGGGAGCCCCGGGTACCAGTCACATCTGCCACCACTCACCCCATCACGTCCATCTTGAGACTCCTGAGGAGTCAGCCACAATGGGGGCAAGGCCAGTGGCCTGCTCTGACCAAGTTGGGGTGGCTAGGGGACAGATCCAAAAGGGCAGGCTGCAGAGACTCCTATTACCACAGTACCAACCCCAAACATACACACACACACACACACACACACAGAGAGAGAGAGAGAGAGAGAGAGAGAGAGAGAGAGAGAGAGAGAGAGAGAGAGAGAGAGAGAGAGAGAGAGAGAGAGAACACTCCAGGCCCAGGGTGGCTCACGCCTGTAAACTCAGCTTTCGTAAGGCTGAGTCAGGGAGACCCAGAGCGCTAGAAAATGAAAGAGAAAAGGATAGAAATCAATCAAGCCCCTGTCAACTGTCAGGCTCATTCCATCAAATGTGTGTTAGGGAATTAAGCTCACAGGCTGCCTCAGCTTGGCCTCTGAAAGGGTCAGTTGGCTACCCATCCTCGTCCCCGCCCTCAGATCCATAAACACCCAAACGCATTGGCCCCTGGTCCAGGCCAGCAGGAGCAGGGGCAAGGTCAGGGCCATTGGTCCCTAAACGGAGGCGGAGGTCTGGAACAATGGCGCGACCACACCCCCTGGCATAGCCCTGAGGGGACCGCGGGTGCCAGCCCTGCAGTGAGGTGCGAGGAGCATGCCCCCTCACACCCCCACACGCCCATCCAGCGGAGGGAGGTGCTGGCAGATGGACAGACCCAGCGTCAGGCTTGGAGCCCCCGACCGGCCGACTGTGGCTGGCCCACGCTCGCCTTTGTTCTGGGTGGAAGCTCCTGGGGCCCCAGGGACTTGCGGTCCCGGGTCGTGGTGCAGAGGCTGGGGGCCCAGGTCTGTGGACTGGAGGCCTGAGGTGAGCGCGAGCGCTCACACCCAGGGCTAGGGTCGCAGATCCCAAGCCCCGGGATCAGTACTCACGATGTCCACGCGGCGGGCACAGCCGGCTTCCGGGGGGCGGCCAGAGCCCGCCTCCCTTGTGCGCAGCGACACAGTCCCGGGCCGGGTCCACCGGCCGCAGCCTCGTCCCCAGAGCCCGTCTCCCTCCAGCCCCAGCTCCGTGGTCGCGACCCTGGGCCCGCCATGCTCGTAGAGCCCCAAGGCCGGGGCGGCCGCTGGCTCCTCCCCTCGTGGGCGGCGGGGTACGGGCTAGGGGCCAGGTGAGGAAGCGGACCCGCCCCTCCACACGTCAGTTTCTCCACCCACTGCTCTGAGGGTAGTGGGCTACGAGCCCTGAGAAATTGTCCAGTCCAGAATTAAGATTCTAGACACAAGCAAGGAAGCCACCGATGGAATGAGGAAGTCCCGCTCACATCCCCAATACCTGAGGATCCCGAATTCCCGCCTGTGGATCTCCATCCAACTCACCCCTTGGGTATGAGCGTCTGTAAAGTGGTACCCTGCTTCCTCTGCTAGCACGTGTCTCCTTTCCACGGGTTTCCCTCCCTCCGGACAGAATTTCCCCAAGGAGTCAGGGGTCCAGCCCTTGGCAGCTCTCTGGGAACCAGTTGCAGAAGACTGTTCCTGGATGCCCAAAGCTGGTTAAGCCCTTGTTGACCTCCTAGGCATCCTTCCTCCTCCATCGGTCACCATGACAGAGGCTACCCCCAGGATGGACCACCTGTGACAGAGGGCAGAGTACCTTCCCTTCCGTGGCACCTCTGATATATTCCTCAGGCTCCATGCCCACCCAGCTGCCTTCTCCCTGGTTTCCAGCTCTCCAGGCCACCTCGCACTGCATGTAGCTTTGAAGTCCCCGCTGCTTTCTCACTCAAAGGCTCTGGCTGCCTGGTGCGTTGGTTTCCAGAGGATTGCCCGCCATTTTACCCAGAACACTAAGCTGCCTCCTTCTTCCAGCCACCCTGTAGATCCCCCTCTCCATTGCCTCTGAGCAGGCCACGCCTTCCTCTTCTCCAGCCTCTCTTCTCCCCCACCAATTTCCCTTCATTACCTCCCAGCCAACACACCATTCCCATCACTTCTTTATTCTAAACATCACAGACAAAATTCTGCACTTTGTGGGGTTGAGAGAGGATCTCGCTCTGTAGCTCAGGCTGTCCTCTACTTTATGATCCTCCTGCCTCAGTTTCCCAAGTACCGGTATTACTGCTGTACTGTCACACCTGGCAACACTGAAGCCCTTCCTAATTCAGTCCTACCCCTGCCCTCAGCCTTTCTTGTGTGCCCAACACCTCTGTCTCTGTCTCTGTGCACAGACTCCAGTAACCCAAGCCCATAAGAATTCACCTGTTGTTGTAACTAAAGTAATTCAGCTTAAATATTAGATTCCAAAAACACTAACCATATGCAAATTGATCCAGAAAATATAAGAGCAAAGCCATGAGACCAGTATCACCCCAATACCAAAGCCAGATAAAGATATCACAAGACATGAAAACTACAGAACAATAATTCTGAGTTTTGTTTTGTTTGGTTTGCTCTGGTTTGCTCTTTTATGAAAGAATCTCATGTAGCTCAGGCTAGCCTTGAACTACCTGGGTAGCTGAGGATGACCTTGAACTTCTGATCTCCCTGCCTCCATCCAAGGCTAAGATTACCATGCCTGGTTTGTGCAGTGTTGAGAACTGAACCCAGGGTTTCATCATGCTAGACAGGCAATCTACCAACTGAGTTACATCCCCAGCCTAAAATCCCCCCAAAAGTTTAGGCATAAACATTCTCAACAAGATGCTAGAAAACTGAATCCAACACCATGTAAAAAGATTCTACAACAGGAACAAGAGGGATTTATCTAAGCAATTCAAGGTTGCTTCAATAGTTGAAGGCAATTAATATAACACACCATATTGATAAAGAACAAAACCACATAATCATATCAACAGACGCTTTGTTTTGGGGGTTTTGTTTGTTTTTGAGATGGAGTTTCTCTGTATAGCCCTGGATGTCCTGGAACTCGCTCTGTAGACCAGGCTGGAATCACAGAGATCCACCTGCCTCTGCCTCATGAGTTCTGGGATTAAATTCATGCCAGAAAAGAATTTTCTAGTCCTGACAAAGGGCATCTAAGAAAAACCTACAGCTAATATCACTGGAAGTGAAAGACTGAATATTTTCCCTCTAAGCACAGGATCAAGGCAAGGATATCTGATCCCATTGCTTTTCAACGTTGTACTGAAAGTGTGGTCAAGGCAACTATATAATAAGAAAAAATTAGATGTTGAGCTGGAGAGATGGCTCAGTAATTAAAAGCTTGGTTGCTTTTCTGGGGGTCCTGGGTTCAATTCCCACATGGACCCACATGGAAGCTCACATCTGTCTATAACCCTAGTTCCAGAAGATCTGGTACCCTCTTCTGACCTCCACAAGCCTTGCACACATATAGAGATAAAACACCCACACACAAAATAAAATTCAAATAAATTTAGTGTCCAGATAAGAAGAAAAACAAAGTAATGATTAGGTGGCTTTATGTAGCATAAATTCCAAGGAACCGAGAAATTACCAGGGCTAATGAGTGAGTTCTGCAAGGTGGAAGGATGTGAGATGAATATATAAAAACTTCACTGTATTTTGTTACATGTTCTAGCAACAAACAAGTCAAGAGTTCCAGTATTCCCTCTTCCAACCAGCTTCCCACGACTGGTAGAAGGCCCTACGTCCCTAGCCTGGGGCATGTGATACAGCCTTCCCTCTACGTGACACTGATGCAATAGGTTATCATTACCCCCATACACAGCTTTCGGGTCCAGAGTGGGCACCTAGGGTACTCGGCTAAGACAGACTGGCACTCCTGCTGGGAAGCTGGACTGAGGATTGCTGAAGGAAGCTGGAACAGAGCCCCACTCTCATCTGTGCAGAGCTGCTTCAAGGAAAGACGAGCCTACCTCCTCCTCCCATGCTTGGGCGGGGCTAGGTACCGGCGTAGGACAGTTTCAGCCCCATCCTGTCATCTCAATGGCCAGCAGAGGAAGCCTGGCTACCACCCTACTGAGGGCAGGTCGAAAGGCCACTGACTAACCTTGTGGGGATGCCGAGTTATACTTCACCTCTCCTGGGTACGTCCTCACTTCAGAGACAGAACTGACATCACAACCCCTCTCCAGAGGACAAGCCCTGCCTGACCCTGGGTGGGTAAGTCCGGATGACACTTGCTCAGCAGCCCAGCGCCAGACCAGGCTGGAGCAGAAAGAGGTTGTGGCACCATTGGTGAGTAGCATGCTGTGACAGAGCTCTTGGAGAGTTTTAGCCCAGCTTGCAGACGATAGCACCACTGGTGCCTGGGAAAGCTGAAGGGAAACCAAGAAGCCCCTGGCTTGCCTGTGGATGGGATGAAGGCTCATAGTTGACCACTGACTGACTTCCTGACTTGACACCTCAGTACTTATAGCGCCACCCTGGCCCCAGGGACCTGATCGCTAAATTCAATTCACTGGTGCTGGGGAACTAACAGTTCATGGGGCAAGAGAGCTCAGTCCCCTTCTCTGCAGGAACAACAGCCTCAGTAGGCTGTGCCACAGTGGGTGGGAGCTTTGAGAGAGAGAATGGAGACGGAAGTGCAAGTCTCACTCAGCCGTCATCTTCTGCTTTGTCCCCATAGGTGAGGAGCCATGGAAGAGTCCACTCCTCAGACTCCTCTAGTAACCTAGCAACATTCCCCTCCCTAAGTGGGAGGCTGAGGCTTCAGGGCCAGGGCTCACTTGCCAGACTCACTGTGCTTCATGGGTGGTTTGGCCTGTAGCTGCAGGCCTCCCTCTGCACCAGGACTTTGGGTATGTGTGAGTCAGTGTCAGTGGTTGTGGCTAGAGTCTCTGAGAAGGTGTGTGATCACTGTTCATGTGCACACACCTGGCCATACATTTGGGCCTGCAAATGTGCTTGTATGTACACCAAGAAGGCTGGACACCTGCCATACATTCTCCAGGTCAAGTCTCTCTACTCCTGCACACATCTTCTCACCTTCTCTGATAGTTGATCTTGATTCAGGTGGTCCTGCTGCCAGTGGCTGCTGGAGGGTATGGACAGAGCAAGCAAATAAAACCATTCGCGCTGGTGGTGGCGCACGCCTTCAATCCCAGGACTTGGGAAGCAGAGGCAGGTGGATCTCTGTGGGTTTGGGGCCAGCCTGGTTTACAAAGTGAGCTCCAGGACAGCCAGAGTTGTTATTCAGAGAAACTCTGTCTCAATAAACCAAAAAGCAAAACAACAACAAAAACCACTCTGTGCCACAAAGGTAGCCTGAACAAGTTGGGCTAGATGTAAGTTCTACGGCGTGTACCTGACCTGGGGCTCTGTGAACCTGCAGGGGTGAGTGGTCATTAGCTCTAAGGGTTCATACATAAACTGTGGCCCTGTACTGCACACCTGGTTGTCATCACATGCATTGTACTCACACAGCGTACATGTGTGCACATTGGTACATGTGTGTATATACATGCATGTATGAACTTATACATGGATTCAGGATGTGGCCCCTGAAGGTCTGGGCTCTGACTGCCCGTGACACCTGCAGATATGTCTGTGTGAAGGAACCAATTCCTCTGGTGATCACAACATCAAGGACTTACTGTTAACTGTGTCCAAACCTGATCACTCTTTGTGAAGCTGCAGGGCAAGGCAGGACTGGGCACTCCCAACACAAGGGGAAGGAGACCAGGTACCACCGGGGTACTTGTGCACACATATGTTCCCACTCAGGTATATACATGTACACATGATCTCATAAATAGCCCTCATATTACACATACACATGCACATACAGTCATTGTGGTGGTTTGACTGAGAATGGCCCCCAAGGTTCATATATTTGAGCACGTGGTCTAGAGTCAGTGGAACTGTTTGAGAAGGATTAAGAGGTGTGACTTTGCTGGAGGAGGTATGTCACTGGAGGTAGGCTTTGATGTTTCAAAAGCCCCATGCCATTCACAGTTAGCCCTCTCTGCCTTATAGATCATCTGTGAGCTCTCAGCTACTGCTCCAGTGCCATGCCTGCCTGCCTGCTACCATGCTTCCTGCCGTGATGGTCCTGTATTCTAACCCTCTGGAACTGTGAGCTCCAAATTAAATTCTTTCTATCATAAGCTTCCTTGATCATGCTGTTTTATCACAGCAATTCAACGTATCTAAGACACTTTTCTTCTCATAGGAAC